AAGTCAAATAGGTTTTTTAATTCCTTTGGCAGTGAATTTCATCTTGGGATATAACAAACAATAAAATGTGAACTGCAGGATAAGACATGTAAAATCATTCATTCTTCTCTATGGCTAAAAGCTATCTTTGGAATTCTCTGTCTAATGATAGATATAAGCAACAGGAGCTCTTTGGTGGACTGCAGAACTAATAGTTTCATAAACTCATGTACTCCCTGTAACTTCTGAGCCACCTTGTTCTCATATCCAGATCTGTATGAGCTCCAGATCCTTTGTCTGGCTCTGGCATTGTGCCAAGACAAGAACCCAAACCACGCTTCTGCACTACAGCCACAACACTGCAGCAAACTCCATGTACTGCACATGCTACAGCCATCACCTGTCCATGAAGCAAGATGTTTCAGAAGCTGAGAGTACTCTGAAGCCATGTGTATACAAATGGGTAAAGTGACAGCATGAATTACTAGTACTATGAGCTGATTTTAGATGGGCACCAGCTTTCAGAAAACACAGATCTAAAGATTTTCTGCCTTGTATGAAACTGCCTGCTTCACAAACTCTCGGGGACATAAGAGGAGAGAATAGACAGGCACACAGCAAATTTAAGAAGCCTTGTTTTCTTATGAAAGTGGTTAAACAGCATCACTGAAAATGGAGATACTCCCAGAAAGACAAAAGGAACAGCTGAAGGGAGGAAAAAAAATCTTTGTGGAAAAACTTGGTATAAGGAAAGACTAAAGAAACTAAAGATTGCTCAAATGGGAAAAAAAATATATATAAGTAGCCTTTTTAAAGTAATGTATTAATAAGCCTGTTCACTTAGAATCAAAAGAAATATATGAAAATATGTATGTTACAGGACCACTACTTAATGACATAGAGTACAACTTTTATTGAATATAAGTAGTATAACAAATCATGTTTCATCAGAAAAACTACAGCAAAATGCAAATATGGTGGTATGGCGAAACAAGACTGTATTTAGAGTCCAAAAGCATGTCAGAAATGAGTCCTGGTATCTCTAATATCTCCTGGGCATGGAGGACTATTGCTCCCTTTCCATTTAAAAAGACAAACATTTCCACCCACGGTATCTGTGAGAATGAAAGCTTGAACAAATTGTGGGCTGTTTTGCCTAGTCCTAGGCTGGACCTATGTGAAATTAGAATTAATTAAGCAGCAGCTTGGATCTGGAAGCAGTGCAAAAGCAACCACAGTTGAAACAAGCCTTGCAGGAGCCAAAGGCACACAGGAGGGCACCTACTGAAACCTTCACCATCTCCCTCTGGCACTCTCAGCATGCAGTTGTTGTGCCTGCTGTTAGACCTGATGCAGTTTCATGGAAATAAAGATCCTTGGCTGCCTTCACAATAATTGCAGCGTAAAGTTGCCACATCTTCCATTAACCCAGCACTGTGCAAATGCTTTCTACTGCTACAAGCTTTACATGGGTTTTGAGATGAGATTGATAGGGTAAAATATTTACTCTCTGTAGGCTGAGACAGCTGCGCTTGGAGCCCATTTGTGGGTTCCTGGAGGCATGACATGGCATAATCATAAAGGAAATATAATCATAAGCCCAGCAGAAAAGGCCTTGGGGATGCTGTTGGACAGCAGCGGAGTGTGAGCCAGCTGTGCCCAGGTGGCCAAGAAGGCCAGTGGCACCCTGGCCTGTGTCAGCAAAGTGTGGCCAGCAGGACCAGGACAGTGATTGTCCCCTTGTGCTCGGCACTTGTGGGGCCATGCCTCGAGTGCTGTGTTCATTTCTGGGCCCTTCACTACAAGAAGGACATTGAGAGGCTGGAGGAGCCCAGGGAAGGGCAATGGAGCTGGTGAAGGCTCTACAGCATAAGACATGGAAGTGGCTGAGGGATCCAGGGTAGCTTAGCCTGGACAAAAGGAGGCTCCAGTATCCTGAATAAAGCATATGAAACTCAATGGATTTTTCTATCTCTTGTGATAGTAATATTTTTATCCTTCATATCTTGGTTCCTGCTAGAGCTCTTTCCTTTTCCCATGTCAAATATAATCATCATCACTGAACACAAGCAAATTATTCTTTCAATTTAAGAGCCATATCCAGCTACATTTGTTTCTACTCTGTCCTGTCTGCATAGCAATTACAGCCTTTCATTACTGGCTTTCTTCTCTGTTTACTTCAATATTTTTAAAATTAGATATATATAAATACATATATACATGAACACACACATATATAAATGTTTATAATGTATATTTTGAAGAAAAGAGCACATGTGTTTTTAAAAGAGAAGATTAAAATTTGGAAATTTTTCAAATTTTACTATACCCATACTTATTTTTGTATGAATGTGTATGTTAAAAAATCATATTTTCAACAGCTACTGATAAGACTAAGCAAACAAGCTCCTGTCAATATCCATGCCCAAACAATGAAATAACTAGCACAAATTATGAAAAAAAAATCATAATTATTTCTATTTTATTTTAAAAGGCACTGAAAGTAACTAGAATCTGACATCATTAAAACAGCATAGGAAGGGAGACAGGTTTTTTTTTTTCTCTGCTGCATCTTCTACTTTTAGATGAGGCTTTGTTTATTATTTGATTTCTGGCTAAAAATAGATGAACATAGTCATGGTTATTTTGTCACTCTCAATGTGCTCAGATGACTAACAAGTTAAGGTCAAAATTTAATGTGTTCTTTTGCTCCAGGCTTTTACAAAATATATGTTTTGACCTATTAGTAAACCATCCCTTAAATGTCACAAAAGGTGTCTCACAAACCATCAGACAGCTCTGAGTGAACCAGACCTCCTGTGAAAGACAGGAATATTTTTAATGCTTATGAGAGGCAAAGTAGAATCCAACTATCTTGAATGGTTCCTTGCCACTTGATCAATTTTCATCTCATTATTCCCTGCATTAGCTTGCAGGATTAACTGACTGTGGTGTGCAAGGCATGACATCGAAGAGAAAAACACTTAAATTTGATCTTGTAGTTATCTCGAAAGGACAACAACAAATTAATTCATCCCCTTATCAAGGATGTTATTGAGGGCAAAGTTATCTCCATTTAACTACTGTCTGTCTATTTTGTGCATGGATATTGCCTATTAGTGCACCATATTTCAATGCACTATTGGCCTAAAACCAGTAATTTGGGAATATATTGGTAGTTTATTTTTTATAAGTGTGTTCCTGTGAGATACAGTAGTGACAGAAACAGGAAGAATAAATTATTAAGATATAATTAATTTTCCTGATTCTAATGCATGATTCTTTTATGCTACTTATCCCAACTAATGAAGTAATCTTTAATTAGTTTTTGGGATTTGACACAAAAGTTTTCACAAAGGATTGTATAACAGCACTGTCTGAAAACAAAACCTTTCTAGCTATTATTTGAAAATGCAAGAAAGGAGAAAGATGTGACCAAAATGGTTGGACACATAGGAATTAATTAGATTAGTACTCAACTCAAGTTTATTTTTATACATCACATTTTTAATAGTAAATATTAGGGGATCTTCTCTGTATGAAGATGTCCAAAGCAGGCTATAGAACTAAGAGTGTCTGAGGCAAGGTTTAGATATGTGGAGCTAATGTGAATCTGACTTTATCTTTTTGTCTCCCTGCCCACAATAGATTAAACTAAAATTTCAGGAAGAACTATGATCCTTGTGGGTATCAAATTCTTAGAATGAATTTTCTGTTTGTGTTTCATTCAGGGTAATCACAGTGGTCATTATTCCATTTTTTTAAAACCAGTAGTCAATCATTTTACATATACAAGGCTATTAATAGGTTTCCAGCATATTTTATTTTGGAGAAAAAAAAAAAAAAGTATGAGGTTTATTGATTGACCACAAATACATATTCCAGCATAAAAAATATGGGGTAATTTATATTTTAATTAATGATCTCATGTATATTCCATTATCTTTCAGCCCTGTATAAAATAATTTTCACAGCCTGATATATTTGCACCATTGCGCTGCAATTTGCTGTCAAATTGCATTCAAGTGTATGCACTGAAAAAATTGAATAATGTTAATTTAGCAAACTTTTTACTCTCCCATTACTTACCATTAAGTTTAACCACCCAAAGACACAGGGATGTAGTACTTTGAAAAATACTCTAGGTGATTTTAGTACTGCCATTATTGGACACCTTGGGTAAATTTATTTTAAAACATTAAAAATTAACAGGACCCAGCCCAGCCCACTGAAATGTCCTAATAGTAATTGTCATAATTTTTAAATTATTAAATTGACTTGAGAGTTTTAAAAAAGAATATGACAGAACCCAAGTAATATGGAGGAGAACATGTGTAAAAAACTTGCAGAACATAATATGGACTGAATATATTCAGAATAAATCACTTACAAGTAAACTGAAGTTACCTGACCCAACTCCAAGGGTATCTGTTTCTTCAATTTTTTTAATAAAAGATATTGGTTAATATAATTATTAATGAGAGGGCAGAAAGTTGAATGCCAAATGCTTATTAAGTCCTTCTTGGACAAATGAACTAACAGTGACTAAAAATGAAGTAACAGTGGATTTGAAAGCAATAAGCAACAAAAATTTAGGATTAAAAAGCCTCACTGCTAAATGGAAAAAAATCTGTGACAGCTTACTTTAACTTGACCTATATATTCTGTAAAAACTCATAAAAATCAAACTGGTCTGATGCTATTGAACAATACCACACATATTGGACCTTAAAAACATCTGAATATTCCAGTCTCTATGGAAAATATATTTCTCAAGAGCTCCATTATAGGAGGCAGATCATATATAAAAAACACTGTATTTTACATCTCATGTGATAGGAGTTGGTGGGAGTTTTTTGACAGTTAGTTACAACAAATTGGAGTCTATAAGTGGTTTTGGATCTATGACTCATTAAATAGGCAGTGTATATATATTATTATACAGATATCGTTCTTTTAATCCAGACTTAATTTTTTTGGAGAATACTTGATTTTAAAACAACTTCTTGAACAACACCTACTTGAGGTCTTGGGAAGGTTCTGCTCTGATATGGGGTGTCTCCACAGAGTGCCCAAACACTGCCCCTTCCGTGCCTAAAATACATAAATAAAATACAGTACAATTACTTCGGAAAATAAAAACACATTGAAATATATGACCACAAATTGACACTATTAGGAAAAAAAAGTCAGATTAAATCCTTTATTAATAACTATAAATGTTTCTTCATTTTTACATTTTAATTTCTATATCGAAATCACATTCTGTGAAGCTCTGGATTTCTGCTTTTTCACATAAAAATCTGAAACATTTACAGATCCAAATTTTTTAAAATGGTTCAGATGAATGCTTATCTCCATATTTTGGAGAACAGTTATTTTACAGAGAATGGAAATATTATAAGTTTGTGTGTCAAAAGCACAGTAGAGAAATATCTGCTGCACTTTACATTATGGTTATTTTGATTACTTAAATTGAGATGCCAAGCTATTAGAAGTTTTGAGATAACTGTCTCTTGCCTGAAGTTGCTGGCTTAATCTTGATTTCTGACAGTTTCAGAGTTTCCATCAGATCTTTCTCATTGAAAAATTTTATTCTCATGGAATGTGCTTTGGGTTGTGTTAGAAGTGGACCCTAAGGTATCTCCTACTGGGAATTTAAAATCCAGACAAAGAAAATGGGTAACAATTTTTCAAATCTGAATTGCTTCTCTATTGAATTTTGATTTACGTTACTAGGTCCAAGTTGAATATGATAATTCCACAGTTTTCATTGGACAACCAAGGTTTTTCATTGAGAAACTTCTCTTCAATTAAAAAAAAATAAAACTCTTGTAAATATTCACTGAAGTTATTTAAAAAAAAGATAATTCTTTAATCAATTTTAAATGCATTTCTTGAAAGAAAATGATGGGGGGAAATAATTGACAAAAAAAAAAAAAAGATCTTTGTTCTTTGTTAAAGTAATAGAAAACTCAAGGAATTTGTATGTAGGGAACAACACTATAAAATCAACATTTCTATTATCTCTCCCCTCTAAGGACTGAACACATAAACTGAACACTCACTTTACATTTAATAGATAGAAATAGACACTGTATGTTCTTAGGCATTTGAAGTTTGTTTCCTTTTTTTCACTTACAGACAATCATCCTGCTTATCTTTGTTTACTGGTTTATCCAATGTCATTGTTTCTGTCATCCACTTACATAAGTTTTACTTTTCCTTGTCTGAAGATGGTTTACTGGGCATTGTACAAGCAAATAGCCTAGAACCAGGGAGTGAAAGTCTTTCCAACAGAGAACCTCCAGCAAAGGTGAAAGAACTCAATAAAAATGTGTAAAATGAGTAATTTATCGTCTATCAAAATAAAATCACAGAAACTGTCTGGGATAACTATGGATCATTACTAAATATTCTTGAATGAATTATTATATTTCAACAACAGAAGGTTTCTTTTGTTCTTTTGAATTCTGACTAGACCTAAAAATATACATACAATGTGTCATAGTAGGTCTGCAAGAAGTGCTCAACAGAACATAGCCACCACTCTAATTGCTACAGTATTTTAAATACAATAAAGTATTTTCAATTTTTAAAATATTTTGTAAACTTTTTCAGAAACTCTGGATGTCAAAAAAGACAGCTATTAGACACTTTTACAGTTAACCAATGATATTTGGATTTGAAAGAAGAATGAGGTAATAAATGTCAAACTGGTAACATTACTTTTTAATTTTAAAGGGAAAATAGCCAGAGCAAGAAGCAAAAAAAGCCCAAGATAAGCAAACTTAAATCTGGTAATAATTTTTTAAACTTCACCTTCATTAAAAGAAAACAAAACCAAAACCAACCAATCAACCAAAAGAAAAATACAACACACCCCCCAAAACTTTCATTGTGAAGTGGTCTATTAATATGGAATATTAAAGATGGGAAGGGGAGAGTAATGAATTAAAATCCTAGTCTTTTATCTCCAGAAATTGATAACCTTTACAAATGTTCTGTCAAAGAACACTGAAAACAACTTTATTACAACTGCTGCTTTGAAGACCTGACAAAAAAACCTCAACAGAATCCACTTTCTATAACCAAGCTTTGCTGAATGTTATGGAAACCACAGGAGAAAAAAAACCAACATATCTTTTTTCCTAGATTTATTTTGAAATGTGTAATGCAGAATCTGTTTTTTAAATCTGGCAATGATTTGAGGTTCTCTTTCCTTTAAAAGACCAGAAGAGCATGTCTGCATAGCCAGGCCTTCTGCCACTCAAAATAAAGCTCATCCCCATCCACAACAAACCTCTCTAGGAGCTAAATAGCCAAAATCAGATTGCATTTCCAGATCCCATTCATCATTTTTATCAGTCAAATGAAATGCTTTTAACTCCAAGGGCCCTTTATATTTTTGAAGGTGGCAATGGGATATGAAGCTGTAAGCAAGTGAGCAGAATGCAGAGTTGCCAGTCTTTACTTATGAGAAGACCAAGTCTGTGATGTTTGAAAGAACATTATCAATGCAAAGATGCACAAAATTCTCTCTAGTATGACTCTGACATTAGATCAATCAGTAGTGCCAAAGGTAATATCAGGCAAAGACTGATAATAAAAGTTAAATGACAGCTGGTTATAACCCAGCTTTAGTATCTCCTCATTTTCAGCATCATTATTTTAAAAGAAGAAAAGGCATTTCTTCCCTGAGAAAATAGAAATGTGAAAGAAAGACCAAGTTTTTCAAGCAGACTGTAAATCCAGGCAGGTAGAATTAAAGATAAATTGATATCATTAAATAAAATATAATTAAAACTAAAAACAAATCAACTATGCTCCTTTTGCTATTTGAAAATGCAGTCTTAATGGTTTTTTTCCTTCTCATACAACATCAAAAACAGAAGTATAACAGTTCCTGTAGTAAATGCTTTATTCTTAAACAAAATAATTTCAATAGTTCAAGAATATTTCCAATTCCCTTTATTACATAGTGGAATAAAAGCAGACACTTTCAATTACCTTGGTTTTAGTAAGAAAGGTGAAAAAGATCAGCCAACCAGAATTTATTCACATGTTTCCTGCAGTTAAGCAGCAGGGTCAAGAAAAAAGACTATCAGCATTACTAAAAATACAGAAGAAAACCTATATTATCCTTTTTTCCAATTAACTATATGCAAATATGTAATAATTTGATGGGAAGTTGAACCATGTGGTTCAGTATTCTTAAGAAATGCTACTATAAACATACTGTCTAATAATATAATTAAATAAATAGAACTGTAAAACCAAATTCCAAGTCCATAGCATTATTTTCTAATTGAAAGAAATATACTTTAGGTATTTGATAAATTACAATGTTATGATAATTATTTTTAGAGAAACAAGAGGACATTCTAATAACTGTATTCCTAGACTTACAGAATCATAGATAAGACCTGCTTTGAGATAGTGAGAGATGAATAAATACATAAAAGGTGCAAAAAGAAAGAGATTGAACCTTAAGGCATTTTCAAGTACAGCTCAAAAGGGAGTAGTTGGGGAACTGAATTCAAAGGAACATGAGTTAGAATGGATAACTATAAAAAGTGATCCTTTTAGAGGAAATAAAATCACAAGGCCACGGAGTAGGTGCAAAGGATCTAAAATAAAAATTGTAAGTGTAACTGAACAAAATTACACCTTCAGCTTCCAGTTGAAGAGAATGAGTTAAGTAAAGACTTCACTAAGAAAGAAGCATCTGTGGAGCCTAATTACTGATCAAAGAATACCAGTTGTTATAGAGGTTGCTGGAGAAAACGCAGTAAACAACACAAGCCAGGTAAAAGGCCAAAAGTTCCGTTCTGTATTTAGAGAAACCTTTTTATGTATAGCTGATTCATAAATTCCAGACCCTTAAGAAAGTTCTTTGACACAAAGCAAATTAAAATTACTCTTTTGCTACAGGCAAAAAACAGTCACATGTTCCTGCTGAAACAGAACATTCAGAATTCAGAAAGACCAGTACAGACTACTAATTTCTGCTCACCTTACTGGTTTTTGAAATTCAGCCTTTGGGAACTGACAAGTGCCATTAATAAAATGGAAGTGTGACTTTGGCATTTGATTCTGGTATACTTACTTATGCATGCACATGGTAAGGTAGTTTTCTTCATTTATTCAATTAGCAAATAATCCTTTCATACTTTCTGAGTAGTTAGCTTATATAACAAAATGGTAGTTTTCAAAGTGGCTTCATATGTAACTAGGATGAACAGACCGAACTGTGGTTTTTTATAGTTTTGGGTTGGTTTTTTGGAGAAGCTTGTTGGAAATTCTATTTGGTTTGTTGTTTTTTGTTTTGTTCTGTGAAAAGAATACTGGTTGAAGAGTTGATAGGGCAAGAACTAAAAACTAATGAAGTATTTTGCTGTGAAAAATGACCCACATATTACCATTATCCCACTCCATCACATCATTCATGGAAGCAAATCACCTAACAATGGAATTGTGAATCATTTTGATCTGTACAAACTACATGCCATTGCAGTATCACAGACACAGCTCAGTTTTACCACCCTGATTTTTCACTAGGTTTTTCAGAAACATCAAATAACTGTTAGTGAAATTATGCAAGTACTAGATTGGGATGCCAATTTGTCCACTGGGTTACAGACTTCAAAGAATGGTTTGTAGAACATTTGTTAGTTTTAAAGCTTGCATTTTTATTTGTTGCATATTAATTACTTAAGTTAAAGCATTGACAGACTTTACAAAGAGGGATAGATAATCAAGATTTTTTTACCATTGAAGAGACCTTAAAAACACAGACTATGTGTTTTAAGTTAGAACTTATATGTTTTAAAAATTTAATTGGAAAAAAATTTCTTAATTCTTTTACCGTGTATATAGATAAAATTAAAAATGTTTTTTATGAACTTTGAAAGCTATTGTTCAACAATAAGACCTTGGAAGAGCTAATCATTGCCAGACTGGAATAAAACCCAGAAATATTCAACTATGCAAAGCAATGATCATTAGAAGGTGACATAAAATGTTTGTTCCTTCTTTTGTAAAAGCCCAGTTATTATAATTTATTTTGGGATGAGTAGAAATGCAGCTTCTGG